TAGAGGATTTAATCTACGCTGTGTTTAACTTTCTCCAAGGGTTTTAGCTTTACTGGGAGTTTCGCCAGAGTTTCGACAGTTTCGACTTTCTCCGGGTTTAGTTTCGACTTTCGCCATTTACCAAAAATAGTTTCGCCTAACAACACTACATCCAAGTGATTTACATCTTAATACGTATATATTATCTAGAATATAAATTTGCAAATGAAGTGCAAAATGAGCAACACAACCATTATATAGAATTCTTTCATAAAAATGAATCAAATAATTTCATTAAGCAGTAGGCATGGAATCAACTCAAAAAAAAGGTATATAAAGATAATTGAATTGTTTTAAGATATGTTTAATACTATAAAAACCCATGTGTAGTTATTTCAGAGCATCTTCAAGGATTGGGTCCATTGAATAATCTTAAAACTTTAATTACATTTGTATAATTTATTTTTTACACATCATAAATTTGTGATCATTCCGAATATTATGAATGAAGTAGCATAATGCAATAAATTTTCCAGTTATTGATAACAGAATTAGCAGTAGGTAAAAAAATGCTTAGTAATTAAAATTCCTCTAATAGTCAAACATTTCTCTAATAGCACGTTGAACAAAAAAAAAGTCCAATGGAATAGGATCAGATAAGAGAGTTTGAGGTTGGATAGGAGGTGCAAGAGGATCCTGTTGCTTAAAATCATGATAAAGACAGCTTAACGATATGTTAATGATGCATTGACCTTGTGCAATAATTAATGAAGATCCCGTGCTACCTTGGGTTCCAAACTCAAACTAATAATTATTATATATATGTCGCATCTGAAGTAGCGATTTATCTAAAGTAGCCACTTTATATATCTAAAGTAGCACCCTGGCTAAAATTAAAATCTAATGCATGCATGACGATCTAATTTCAGGGGCTTAATTTTAGCCAGGCGCTACTTCAAATAAGTCGCTACTTCAGATGCGACATATACATTAGAGATTTTTAATGTTAATAGAAATCAAATTACTATAGTTGAGCATTACAAATAATATGATTGCTACACTGTATAAATATAACTTACTCTCATACGGACTGGTACTCGGTTTTGGGGAACTGGGTCGATTTTTACGATAATACAATCATGGCTGCGACCAGGACTCATCCAATATTTCAAGCTTCTTCAGCGTGATCCAATGTTTCAGTATAGGCTACTTCCACGACCAAATTTGGCCAAGGACGATTCTAAATAAAAAAGGTATATGAGATTACTAGTTTAAAAGGTTCAAAACCAATAAAAAAGAACAGAAATTACATCTCCATTGCTCCCATTTGGTGCAGTTACAGACGGTTTTTTTGGACGAAACGATGCATCGGCTTCTTTTCCACGTTTTTGTCACGTGTTCCTTTAAGAAATAAAAATCGATACAATGCTACAGAGAAATATGTTATGACATTAATACTTACTAGTAGAACCAGCACCATGAATCTCGGCATCAGTTCCATCAGCATTACCGCATTGTCTATTTATTTGCTTAACAATTGCACTGATGCAAACTTCGTGTGGCATAGAAGGCAACTCATAGATTAAGACTACTCCGTCTAACCACTCCCAACATCTGTGAATATTGAACTTTTCTACACGTTCTTCATAATCATCAATAGCGATCCCTTTAGCAAGCACATAAGGTAATCTTATACGTATATGAATAACAATTTATATCAGCCACTAGCTAAAACAAATAGCAACGTCAAACAAGAAACTTACGTTACTTCTTCCCATTTTGCTTTTTCGTTAAATTCACCCTTTTCCCACCACAAGTTTCGATAATAGTTGCAGTCTGACATTCTTTTTGGAACCGCATCAGTACTATCCTTAATATTTCCGAAAAGTTAGCGAAAATAAGGAGTAAAAATTGCACAAATTGACTTACTCAGTGGCTACAGAGCTTGCACTTGTGCTTGGCCTTGTTTTTGTTGAACTAAAGCTACTGAAACTGGTATTTGCATTACCGTTCTTAAGTGACATTTTGATGTTTTTGGAAAGATGGTTTACGATTAACGATGGATAAAAGATTACAGTAACAGTAAACTGATTTAAATTTTGCGCCACAATTATTATTCCCTCGTGACCAAACCAATATGATGTAAAGATGAGAGAATTGGCACGTACATGTATCATGTTTTAATGATGACTCAAAAATTATTAAAAAAATAACTATGTATAAATTACTATGCCGTTAATATTTTAAAAAAAAAATAAAAAATAACTATGTATATACATATATATTGTGAACTTTCGGACAACTGCGACTCGGTCGCTCCACAATCCAAAATCTCGCGTAACCAATGATAGGTAACCTTTCGAAAGAAGGTGTTAGATTTAGTTGGTGAGTGATTAAGGCTTTTGGTTACTTGGATCAGCGAAACCAGGTAGGTAAGTTACGTGATCGAGAACTTGAACTCAACGATTTTTATAGGGTTTATAGGATCCATACTGGTAGTAGTGTTAGTGTACAGTGTATAAAATTGGGACTTATTATTTAATAAAGCAAATGAAGCATCACGCTCATAAGGGGCCATTTCGGCCTTTATTTATATTATTCAGTTTCGTCGCTTGCAAATGCGTCTTTACACTTAATATTGAATAAGCTATATAAAATTATTTACATTTACTTTCCTTAATATTTTAAGGATGTTTAAGTTGTATTAATATTTTCCCTTTATTTTCTATCTACCCTCTCTGCATCCGAAATACCGTTCCCGATCACAAATGTAATTAATTGCATTTCGGACTCAATATATACACTAGGGATCTTCGTGTTCGTAAAATCAATTAATGTACAAAAAATATATAAGTTATCAAATAAATTATTATCAAATAAATTAAATCGAATAAGTTATATGTTGTTATATTTATAAAAATTGGTTTACAGATGTGAAGTATCTATGCACTATTAATTTGTCGCATTTCGCCCATAAGATTTTATAGTGTAAAGCGAGCTCAGTTGCCTTGAGGCCCTCGGGTTTGTAATACCATTCAATGAATTTACGTTGTCTAATTATAGATGTTCGAATCTTTTTCCAACCTCTTTTGCATGTTTAACTCTTTTAACAGCATTCTGCATCCATAATTCATAACGACGAATTGCTTTTTTTTCATAGAAAGAGTTAGTAAGTTCAGTTTCAGGTTTATTTTTAAGCTCCATATAATCTTCGAAGCTGATATCACAATAAGCGTTTCCAGTACAATTTGTACTCCAATGTTCATTCATAAAATGACGAAATCCACATTCATATCCACGTCCTATTCTAGAATAAACAAGCTTGATACATGAAAAACATGTTGCTATGCTTACTCCTACAGAATGACCGAGATCACCTTTGTATAAATACACCATCTTTCTGGCAATAAGATAACCTTTTTTATCATCATTCAAGCGATTACTATTCTTATAGTTCATTAACTGATTCCAGATTCGTTTCATCCAATCAAATGGAGTTTCACCTTTATGATTGCTGGAAATTGACAGTTATCTCGCCATTCAGTATCGCTCAAAACTGGGCATTTATCTGTATAGACCATATTTAACAATTAAGTATTTTATAGTATTTTTCGAGATTATGCGATTATATCGAATTTAGGGTTTTATCTATTGGATTTAATAGCTTTATACTTTAGAATAATGCAACTCATTTTTAGTCCAGATTGGATTCTCGAACCAGTTCTTCAAGATTGTTATAATCATCATATTTTGCGAGTAATGTATGAATATGAGAGAGATCCATATTGGATTGTAGCGAGAATTGTAGTTTAGAGTTGATTCTTAAGAATTTATTTGTGGCGCTATTTATGGGTACCCTTATGTCCGGCTGAAGACCCTATCCGGATCCAATAAAATCACAGGATCTTGTGTAACAAATAAACGCGAAAAATATAAGTTGTAAAAAAAAACGTAAATAACACAAAAATTTACTATGATAACAAACTTCTGACCCCTAAGTAAAAGTTTTAGAATGAAAGTTTACTTATAGAATTCAATTGTTAAATATATAGTGAATTTTTGAGATACTCTGACCTATATTTTTTGGCCGGCAGTTCTGGATTTTCTGAACATAAGGATACCTCTATGCCTGAAATAGATCATGCAACATATGCTTAATACTGTAATATATACATAATATATACATGAGCAATTTATACATAAATATCATGTACTTGGCTAAAAATTACTTTTAAACTTATCTAAATCCACAGGATTTTATTAATAAAACAAACAAAAAATATAAAAAATTGTAAAAAAACAAATAACAATAATTTATTATAATAATTAATTTTTGACCTTTAAGTAAAATTTTTAAAATAAAGGTGTGGTGACCTAGTGAAGTGGTCAGGTTATCAACCCTCCAAGTGGTAGGTTGGGTATTCAAATCCCATTGATGGTAAAAATTTGGATAATCACTTATGTAATATTTGTATTACAACAACTATTATTAATGATTAGGTTAGAATACTTATAATGGCAGTCACACTAGCATGACTGGCAGGTCATAGGATATCTGTACAATATTAGAATTACACAAAGAAATGCAAACTGACAAATCAGATAGTACAAACACTAGATAAGTCCTTGTAATTGTATAAATTTGTTAAAATTAGATAATAAAAAGTTTATTTGAAAAGATTTGAGTAAAGAGATAATTAGATCTTTGACAGTTCTACTGTAAAGACTAGACTAGCAAAACAGATACCAAGGTCTAGTACCTGGTTGTAGTAGTTAAATAGACAAAAACTTCTGTGTTGGAAGTCTCAGAGATATCATCAACTAGGTCATCAGAATAAACAGAAAGAAAAGAATATCAGATCAATTCAATATACTGATGGATTGGTTATAGTCCTACATAGTTTATCTGAATTAGAAGTTTGATAAAAAGATAAAAAAAAAGACAAAAATATACTAAAGTACTAAGATTATGTTGTAAAATAGATGTTAGAATTTAAGTAAACTTTACAAAGACATAGCAGTTTAATAATTAAGCCCTAATGGCAAGTGTTAGTTCTGCTATAGTAATATCTAAATCAGTTATAAAAATGAGTACAGAAGGTTCTGGAAGATTTATCTCAAGGATAAATTAGTCCTAAGATTAAGACAATGATTTTGGTATCTAGGTATGATCCAGTAAGTTAATATAAATTACAGATTTAAAGGATTAAAATAGAACATCTAAGCAGAAGTGTTAGGTATAATAATTGATAGAAAACCTTTAGACAGACTTCTTAAATAGATAATATAGAAAAGTTATATATATAGCCAATTGTACATTCTCTTGTAATAGTTTATTGAATCACAATATCAATAAATAATTAATAAAAGTTAAAAGACCAAAAAGATTACCTTAAAAAAAAAAAAAAAAACTTTAAAATAAAATTTATTTATAGAATATAATTATTAATACTCGATATATAAAGAATTTTTAAGATATTATACTTATATTTTTTGATTAACAATTTGGAATTTTTTTGATATAAAAATATTTAATTTAAAGCAATATTGGTACAGAATAGTTGTGAATATGTTTGAATATTTGTAAATATTTTTGAACAAATAAATAAATTAAAATTAAAATTTTATTAAATTAATTTATTTCAACTTACTAAATAAAAATATTCAATATTATAAAAAATATATAATTATATATTTTTTAAATTAATATATAATACATATAATCTAAAACTAAAGTTATATAATCAAAGTAATTAATTTAGATAATAATAATAGATATATATAATTATATTTAAAACTCAAATATTCTGAATATTTCTAAATAGAAAGTTATTAAACATAAAAGATAATTATAAAATTTTAAAATTAATATAATACATATTAATATTAATATAATAATAATTAATTATGTAATAGTTGTAATCAAATTATTTGTTTTATTTAATATAATTTATTGTTCTATTTAATATAATAATGATATAAAGATAATATAAATTAATATATGAAATGCATATAAAATTAATATAATATAATAATTATAGACAAGAGTAAAAATAATAAATAATGAACAAGTAATAGATAACATTTAAGAATTTTAAAATTAATAAACAACTAAGTTTTAAGTTAAAATATAATAAAATTAAAAAAAAATTAAGAGTAATAAAAAAATTAATATATAAAACAAAGATTGTATTATATAAATAAAATTTTTAAATACTTATATTTCTTAAATTATATAACAAATTTTATAAATAAATTTTTTTAGATATATTTTTTTAAATATATTATAATTGGTTTAAAATTATTTTTAATAAAAAATAAATAAATAAAGTAATAAAACTCTTTCTACAAATCTTTTACACAAATCTTAACTAAAAATTCATCTATACAAAAACGTTTATAACTATTTATTTTATTAAGTTAACTTGTTCTTGGCTCTTAAGTAAATTTATTTAGTACTAAATTTTATATTTATTTTAAAAGTTTCAAGTCTTTAGGATTTAAACTCATTGAGAAAAATATACTGATGGCCTTTGGTCTTCAGAATTTACAAATTCAATTATTATATAAAAGTTATTGTCACAACCTACTCTACACTCTTAAGTAAAAATGTAGAGTATATTTTTTTGGTCAAAACAAGCTCTAAACAAAGATTTTTGACCTAATATTGACTAAATTACAGCCAAATTTAATTTTTATTCTCTTGTAAAAATTCTTTTTTTATTTTTTGTTCTTACCCTGGTCTGCTTATCCTTACACATTTTTGTGTAATATAAGATTACTTCTTAATTCATATTTAATTAAATTTACACTAAATTTACTAATATATTCTTAAATAGAATCTTATTAATATACAATCTACTCTTTTCTATATTTGGTTTTAATTAATTTTATACAAAAGCTGTACTTTGTACCAATACTACACTACACTAGTAACTATTATCTAGTTATATTTACTAATCTAGTTATTATAAATTATAATTTTTGTAATACCCTATTATATAAAATTATATAAACCTATATTAAGTTACACCTTATACTAAAACCCCTGTATTTATTTACTACTTTTGCAAAATCAAATATTTACAACTTCTTTATTTTTTCTTATTTAACAAAATATCTAAAAATGCCAACTCTTATAACAACTGAACCAAATTTCTATGATATAGATTATTATTATTCTAAATACAGAGGTTATTATGGACTCAGTATGAATAAAAAAACTTCCAAATCATTTTGTGTTTTTCTATCAGATGTTAATCTTAATCAATATAAAAGTCTTAAAAAAAAACAACATTATTTCAAAGTTCCAACTCAACCAACTATTGGTATATGTTTATGTGATCAATTTTATATTAATTTTATCTCTTACTACTATAAAATTACCCAACCTACCATTTTTGGTCTTTTCAATATACAAACCTTTACAATTATCTCTACTAAATGCTTCGAAAAATTAGTAATACTCTACTTACATCTCTTATTATTAAGCAACTCTTAACTCAACTTCCTAATTTTACTATTCTTTTTCCTTTATTTAATATTAATTTTATACCAACTGCCATTATTCCTTACTCTTAACATGTTTATACATGTGTATTATATAATATCAAAAATCTTTCTTGTGTTCTCTCTCAAGAAAACAAATATTCTCCAAACTATACTAAAGCAATTTTTTTCAGAACTCAACTTATTCATCATAGCTGTATTCACAGAATTATTGATATCAAATTATGTCATCTTGTCCAAACTAAACCCTTATTTCAAGAATAAAAGAAAATGGTTCATATATCCAAATTTGTCTTACTTAGCAAAACTGAAAAAATAGAACTTTTTAAAGAAGTTTTATCTAAATTTCCAAAAAAAGATAACAAATCTCAACAATAAAAACATAATATTTTCTAAGATTTTAACTGATTTAAATTATTTTCAGTTACAAAAAAAATGAAACCTAACTTAAAACTTAATACTTCATTCTCTCAATAATTATTTAACTTTCTTAAATCTAACTTAATTTCTTTTATATCTGATAAAAGTATTTTTTCTAAAAATTCAGATATTAAATCTACTTTTAAATACTCCTTTGATTACTTATTAAAAACTATGACTGAACAAAAACCCAAATTCTTAGTAGATTTAGTTCAAAAATCAAACCCATTAATTGGTACTCATATTTCAATTTCTACAGAAATTTTAATTAATATTTTAAAACTTATACTTTCTAAATTCCTTACTATATTTTTTATAAAACTTAATTATAAAAAAATTCT